GGATGGAGGAGAAGGGATTGTGGTGTGGCCATCCCCCCTAGGGGGTGATTTCTCGCTTTCTGTCTCTCTCTTTCTGATGAGCACATGTGCTCTATAGCAAAAACCACTCAAAAATTAAAAAGAAAAGAAAGAATGTGCTACATAACCGTCTGAAAGCGGTTTTCTAACTAGGCATGATTCTCTTGAGAGCCCAGTGTGTACTGTTCGATCCTCCTACCGTAAAGGAGGGTTGTAGTAGAGTGACATCAGCAGGTAATGGAATAAGGAAGCCCAGATCCTCCTACCCCGACAGAGATGTGGAGTTAAGGTCGGAACATTCAATTCTGGGAGCCCCTCCCTCAGACACAGTGTAGCAGGATTGAGAGAATAGCCGACTTCCAACCTCGCCCCAGGGAAGATAAAGCAGTAGATGCATATTCAACATTTTTGACATTTTTGGGTACCACGTAAGGAACTGGTTTCTATCTTGCCTAAACCAAAGCAGTGACAAGAAAAGGGCTCCAGGCTGTGGGTGAAGAAAAGGCCATTCATCTACACAAAAGGCTGCAGTACCAGGGACAGACACTAGATGGAGGGTCAACACTGCAACTTACTACACCTCGGGGGAGGCTGCAGTATCTCAGACAGACACCAGGGGGAGAGCCTGAGTAAAAACCGGCAAACCACCTCTGTTGGATTACACCCACAGCCTGGAGAGGACACAGCCCCAGAGAAGGGTCTCCAGGGCTCCAGAATCCCTAGCCAGACTGATTGGAAAAAATCATTCAAAACCAGACTGCAAAGATACTGGAAAAGGTGATTTTTCAAATGCCAAAATTCTAACTACAAAAAACCCAAGACATACAAAGAAATGGAAATATGGTGTATTCAGTAGAATCATCTAAAAAATCAACCCCAGAGAACTGGAGACATATACCAGAGAATTCAAAATAACTGTCGTAAGAATGCTTAGTGAATTAATGGAGAGCACAGACAGCCAAACCTAAGCAGGGAAATGACACATGAACAAAATGAGACTATCAACCAGGAGGCAGAAACTAACAAGAACAACCATCCCGAAACTCTAGAATTGAAGAAAACAAAACCTGAATCAACAAATTCACTAGAGGAACTCAATAATAAACCAGACTGGGCAGAAGAAAGAATAAGCAAACTTGGAGGAGGACTTTCAAAATTACCAAGGCAGAAGAACAA